CCCTCACGGACGTGAATGGACCGTCTGTGTGGCCCTGCGGCCTGGTCGCCCTGGGGACCTGCCTCGCAGGAGGAGGGTGGCAAGAGGCCCCCGCACGAAGTCAGTGCCCACTTTGTTCCCTCGCTGGGCTGAGGGAGACTGAAAGGCCACTTGAGCTTTGACTCGGCCCTCAGAACCTTTGCCCCACCCCCAGAGCGGGTGAGTACTCACGGATGCCCAGTTGCCTTTTGGACAGTGGGACCCAAGATATCTCTCTCCCACCCATTTACTCCCCAACCTGACTCCTCTCAGCAGCGAAGGCTCCTTTCACATAAAGAAAACAATCTAAGCCCTAGCTGGTTTGGCTCAATGGATAGAGTGACAGCCTGCAAACCTGAGGGTCCCAGGTTCGATTCCGGTCAAGGCCACATGCCCTGGTTGTGGGCTCGATCCCCAGTAGGTGGTGTGCAGGAGGCAGCTGATCAGTGATTCTCTCTCATCATTGATGTTTCTATCTCTTCCCTCTCCCTTCCTCTCTGAAATCAATAAAAATATATTTAAATAAATAAATAAAAACTGTGGAGCAGGAAGCTCAGCGGGCAGAGCTCTGTTCTGGTTCAGCCACTAACTCCGATGGCCTTGGGTGGCCCCGTCCCTCTGGGCTTCAGTGAGTCCAGATCGAGCTGGGAATGTTCAAGTGATTGACAGAGGCCTGAGTGGGAGAGGGAGCGAGAGAAGGGGATGAGGGGAGCTGGGCGGCCTGGCATGCAGGTCGGAAGGCCAGCTGGAGCTCCCCGGGGAGAGGCTGGAGGTGGGGGCTGTGGGGGAGACCAGGCTCTGCCAGGGCCAGGGGAGGGCAGCCCCTGGATTCTCAGTTACCAGCTTCGGGCTCTGCTTCCTAATGGCAGTGCCAGGTCCATCTGCACTGCCACCCACACCTGCCCTCGGCGCAGCCTCGGCTCGGCCTACCCTGGCAGCGGTAGAGAACAGGCAAGGGCTGCCTCTGCTGCATGGCTTTGCACAAGCAACCTAACCGCTCTGAGCCGCATTTTCTCTCTGGATGCAATGAAGATGGGGCATTGCAGAGCGTGCCCCTAAATGGTTCTGGACTTTTAGTTCCTGCTCTGTTGACATTGACTGTGACTCCATCATGTTGCGGAGGGGCGGGTGGCAGTTGGCTTGCGTGTGGGGCGGGCGGCAGGTGCGCTGTGTGCTTGCGTGTGCCCCGGGCCGTGCACTCGCTGTTCCGCCGCCGCCCTGGCAGAGGCTGCACCGTCGCTTCCCTCTCGCCCGCAGAGGTGCAGCTGAAGCCCAAGCACCAGCCCTACAAGCTGGGCCGCCAGTGGCCAGAACTGCTGCTGCGCTTCACCGACGCCCCGGACGACGATGTGGCCACAGGTGAGCGCGCTCCTGCGGCCCCGCCTCAGGGCCACCTGGGTTGAAGCACCGGCTCCCAGGCCCCTCCGCCTCTCCTGGCAGCGGAGCCCGGGGACCTGAGGGAGCCCAGGAGAGGAGGGGCTGGAGGTCAGCGAGCTTGTCGAGATCAGCCACACCCCACTCTGCACAGCCCTCAGGCTTCCTCAGTTGTGGCTGGAGAGCCAGGGGGTCGGGGACGGGCCAGTCCGGAGAGGGCTGGGCAGTGACCCCAGCCTCTCCCCCCAGACGAGCCTTCCCTGCAGTTCCGAAGGAACGTGTTTTTCCCAAAGCGGCGGGAGCTCCAGGTGAGGCCGCGAACCCCAGGCAGGTCTGGTGCCCTGTGTCTAGCCTCCCCTTGTCCCTAGATCCCTGGACACGGGCCCTGACCTAGCTGAGCAGCCCCTCCCTGCCACGCAGATCCACGACGAGGAGGTCCTGCGGCTGCTCTACGAGGAGGCCAAGGGCAACGTGCTGGCGGCACGGTACCCCTGCGACCTGGAGGACTGCGAGGCCCTGGGCGCCCTGGTGTGCCGCGTGCAGCTCGGGCCCTTCCAGCCTGGCCAGCCCACCGCCTGCACCTTGAGGTGAAGGCCAGCGTGGCCTGAGGCCGGGGCGCAGGGTGGGAGGGTCGCCCCAGAATCCTGCTTACAGTTGGTCTTAGGTCTTGCAGGGTCCTGGCGTCAGGAAGCCTCAGCCTGAGGGCTGGCCCTGACGCTGGCTGGGCCTCTCCCCCCTCCCCCCCCATGGCTGGGCTGTGTGGTCCTCTGGAAGCCCCAGCAGGGACCCTCCCCTCCTCGTCAGAAACGACAGCTGCAGGGATGTTTGTTTGACACGTGCCAGTGCCCTTCCGTGGGTGCAGACACCAGCGTCCTTAGGTCACAGGTGGGAAGCCGAGGCTTGGCGAGGGCGCTCAGCGCGCAGACCCCGAGGCCAGCTCTGGCTTACGCAGAGCCACCCGTGTGCGGCCTGGAGCCGCTGGGCTGCCCGGGGTGGGAGGGACACAGTCACGCCCAGATTCCTTCCCCTGTGAGTAAGTGCAAATGCGCTTTCTCTCACGCACCTGCACCCATGGATTGTAGGTTGGCGTTTTCTTACATCCCTCTTTGGCAGAATAAAACATTGGTAGGTAGCTCTGGGTCGCTTGGACCATTTTTGGTTGTGAAAGTTCCACTAGTTCCACATCTTCCTTACACACACCCAGACGTTGTGTGGAACCCTCCCGCCCAGCCCGGTTCTGGGGCGGGCCTGGTTTGGGCTCTTCTCTTCATCTCCCGACTTTTCCTTCAGGCCTCTCGCCCGTCGGGTGTGCTGTTGAGGTGGCAGCAGTGGGATCCCTGGGCAGTTCGTGTCTGCCCTCCCCTCCATGAGCACGTCAGCCACGGAGCCTCCTGCTGAGCCTCATCTTCCTTCCTCCCCAGGGAGAGGCTGGACTCCTTCCTCCCTGCCCACCTGTGTAAGCGAGGCCACGGGCTCTTTGCTGCCCTCCGAGGCCGTGGGGCCAGGGCTGGCGCCAGCGAGCAGGGCCTGCTCAGCGCCTACCGCCAGGTGACGGAAGCCGTCAGCAGCGAGTGCGAGGCGTCGCTGAGGACCCACTACCAGGCCTACCTCACCAAGTGCCACGAGCTTCCCTACTACGGGTGAGCACCGCCCCAGCAGCCACGCCCTGGGTCTCCTCTGTCCGAGACGCTCGCTGGACACCCAGGTGGCTGTTCCGAGTCGGGTTTTGGTTTCTGGGTCTAGAGTTTGGTAGTAACTGGGGAGTCATCAGCACGTGGATGGTGTTTGAAATCAGGGACCCAGAGGGACGGTCAAGGAGGTGAGTGTGGACGGAAGGAGGACCCAGCCAGCAAGGCGGGAGGGTCTCTACAAGCCAAGCAAAGGGCGGTGTCAAGGACCAGCCTCCCATGCTGCTGCTTCAAGGTCAAGCTCGACATGTCCTGTGTGGCTGACAGTTGTCCTTGGCCCCAGCATCGTGGAGGAGGCAGCGGGTGGGGAGAGTGAGTGTAGCCAGCTTTCCCAAGGAGCCGTGCTGTGGAGTGAGCAGTGTGTGCGTGCGGTGGGGACAGAAGGTTTTTAATTCGGTGACAGGAAGTGTGTGCTGATACGGTGGCCCAGTAGAGTGAAAACTTGAGGGTGGCGGGTGGCCCCTCTTCTGGTTGCTTCAGTTCCCCCAGCCCTCGGCCAGGCCCGTGAAGTCTCCCAGACGTGAGACTGCGGGGCTGATGGAGGCTGCTCAGTAACTGCAGGTGGTGAGCGCTTGTCTTCAGTCCCGCCCACGGTGCCAGTGCCGCCAGTCACAGAGGTGGGACTACCCAGGACTCCGGCTTCGCCAAGGGCAAGAGGGGAGGGCCAGGGCAGCCACAGGCACGGAGAGGACACGGCGGGCAGGAGGGAGAGGCTGGCAGCTCAGTGGGTGGCATCCCAAGGCCACTCACCCTTTCCCCTTCTCCGGGTCAAGCCCTGAAGCTGCTTCCCTGGGCAGTTCCTGCCCCTCGTGGCCCCCAAGCAGGTTCAGCCTTGACCTCTCTCTGCTGCAGAAGGGGCGGGGGCTCTCCCAGCCCTGACCCGGCCTGACCACCTCCAGCAGCCTCAGCCCTGGTCCTCGGGCTCCTGGCGGCTCCCTTACATCACCTGCTCTGTCCACACCTGGATTCACGCTCTGCCCTCTGCCTGTGGTGCCCTTTCTGTGTGCCGCTCAGTTCCACCTCCTGCCCGCTCATCCCCTCCCGTCCTGCACACCAGCTCCAATGCCAGCACCTCCGAGCCTTCGTCCTCCCCTGGGGCGCGTTTCCCTTCAGCCTTCAGTCACCCGAAGGGCCTGGCCAGAGCACTCGCTGGCGGAGGAACCACACGCTGAGCCGCCTGCTTGGTGCTGGAGGGGCAGGCTGACCCCACTCCCCTCCCCCAGGTGTGCCTTCTTCCACGGCGAGGTCGACAAGCCAGCACAGAGCTTTTTGCACCGGGGCGGACGGAAGCCGGTGACTGTGGCCATCAGTCTGGAGGGTGTGCATGTCATCGACAACAGGGAGAAGGTACCTCCGGCTCCTCTGCGGTGGGACCTGGGGTCTCAGTGGCGAGGAGGGGAGTGGGGTCCTTACCCAGGCCTCCAGGTTTCCCTGGGCCTGCGGTTGGCCCTGGGGCAGGGTGGGTGGCCTGTCCGAGAGGACCCCTCCCTCCCTCGGATGTCCCTGCGCTTCACTGTCATCCAGCGGGCTTTTCTGGGTCTGCCCTGGGTCAGCCTGGTGTGCGGGGCCGTGGCTCCCAGGCAGGGAGGCTGCAGCTGGGACGAGGCCTCTGACGGGAGGGACTCTGTCATCCAATGGTGGGCGACCAGCTGCTGGTTTTCCAGAAATGCCCACGACCAGGAGCCCTCCTGGGCGGTCGGAGTCCTGCTCTCACCTGCATTGGCTGCCTGTGGAGAAGGGGGTGTTGGCAGCCGCCCTGTGGGCAGCTTCTCTACACCTGCACAGGAGCCCCTCCGCAGCCACAGAGCAGTTCGGCCACCTCCTGGGTCCCCCGCCCCCTCGCCTCTTCCCTCACGTTACTGCCCTGCTGGGCTTGGCCCACTGGAGAGACGCACTGTGGTTAGGGTGTCATCCGCCCTGGACTCGCCCCCTTCCGGGGTCTGATGGAAGCAGGGACCCCTCTCCCTGGAGAAACTCACGAATTCAGACTCAGCGTTAGTGTTAAACAGCCAGGATCCCCTTCTGGTGGCGCCGAGGCAGGTGGGGCAGGGAGCAGGCCTCTGCCCAGGGCCCAAGCTCTGCCTCTCCCGGACCAGCACGTCCTGCTGGGCCTGCGCTTCCAGGAGCTCTCCTGGGACCACACGTCCCCCGAGGAGGAGGAGTCCGTCCTGTGGCTGGAGTTCGATGGCAGCAATGAGGGCACCCCCGTCAACAAGCTGCTCAAGATCTACTCCAAGCAGGTAGTGGGGTGGCCTGCACTGGGGGTGGGGCCGGGGGAGGCTCGGCTCAAGGGGTCCCAGCCTATGGGAGGCTCCAGGCTGGCAAGGAGCTGAGAAGGCCACTGAGGTCCAGGGGACCGGGGCGCTGGCTTCTGCTGGCCTGGAGCCACCCTCGCGAGTTAGCTGGGCCTGGTCCGGAGTGACACCGGTGGCGGCTGTGTGTTGAGGGCTTCCCAGTGCTGTGCGACCGCCCCTGCCAACTCCCTCTGTCCTTGAGGCCCCTGAGGGTTGACTGCTCTGAGATGGGGGGCAGACACAGAAAGGTCAGGGCCCTCTGCACCTGTAGCACCTTCATCTACTGTCCAGTTCGTTCAGCACCGGGTCTTCCACCTCCCCCCCAACTCGCCCCTCCCCTCCTCATGGGGAGCTGCCCTCCCACAGGGCCCGTCAGGATGGTGTTCCTCTCACCTGTCCTCTCAGCCCCTCTGCAGGTAACAGCGCCCAGGGGCTCTCTGAAAGCGCACATCCCACAGCCGCCTGCCCCGCCTGGGGCCCCTAGACCCTGCAGGCTTTCCACTCTGAGTCTCCCTTCCCGTCCCTCAACCCTTTGCAGCCAAC